GAGACCATCCTGGTCAACATGGTGAAACCCCGTCTCTACTAAAAATACAAAACATTAGCTAGGCATGGTAGCGCGTGCCTGTAATCCCAACTACTCAGGAGGTTGAGGCAGGAGAACTGCCTGAACCCAGGAGGCGGAGGTTGCAGTGAGCCGAGATCGCGCCATTGCACTCCAGCCTGGGTAACAAGAGCAAAACTCCGTATCAAAAAAATAGTGTAGAGAGAAAGAAGCATGTGGGAGGCACACACACAAAAAAAAAAAAAAAAAAAAAAAAGAAATCTGATTTCAGATAAATAAGTTGTCACTATACTAGGTACAAAAAAGAAAGCAGTACAACTCATTTACTAAAAAAAAAAAAAAAAAGTAGAAATGGCAATGGCCAATGATTTCAACACTTGGGTTCTAACTATTTATATATTTATACTTTTACGCAAATTACCTAGGCAGCTCTGCTCCCTTGTGGGTTGAGACTTTGGATATGAAAGATTTCATGCTCTCTGAGACTTGAGTTAAGTTATAGTTCTGCTCCTTCTCCTTGGAAATAGACTCTGATTCTTTTTTGCCAGCAGCTTCCTGTAGCAGCTGCTCCAGCTGATCTGCTGAGAGATCTAACCACTGGTCATCTGAAAAAGAAGAAAGCATAATATTGCCATTCTACATTCACATAAGTCCTTTCAGGAGAGGATCCTGTGAGACTTAGTAGAAGATTTTAATTTTTTTTAACCCTTCCACTATATCCCAGTCCATCACTTACCATCCTCCGGGGGAAGATTAGCTGCTTCTTTCTTAAGGTCTTCTATATCAAATGGCATTGTCTGTAATAAGGTTAAGATTTCTTCGCCTGGGCTCATAGCAAGAGAACTATAAAAAATGAAAAACATGAGTATTTCTTCATAAAAGAACCTAGAATAGTAATCATAAATACACAGTCTTTTAAAGTTGGAACCTCTACAAAATTGTTTTTATACATACTATAATACTTTATAGGGATTAACTAGTCTAATTTGGGAGTTCCTTGTTTGTTTTTGCTTTTTTTTTAAGACATGGGGTTTCACTGTTGCTCAGACTGGACCCAAACTCCTGGGTTCAAGAGATCCCCCACTTCAACCTCCCAGGTAGCTGGCACTACAAGTACATGCCAAAATACCTGGCTCTAATTTGTTTTTAAGCATATTTTTAGGTTGCAGATCCCTTTTTCTCAAATAAAACTTTTTTTAAAATTTTTATTTTTATTTATTTTTTAAATCTCCTTCTTGAATTATCAAATAAAATTTTTTTTTGGGGGGCGGATCACTTGAGGTCAGGAGTTCGAGACGAGCCTGCTCAACATGGTGAAACCCCATCAAATAAAACTTTTACCAGTAATTCTAAAATACAGAAGGGCTCAAAGAAAAATGGCTTTGGTTAAAGTGGAGGATAGGCCAGGCGCGGTGGCTCATTCCTGTAATCCCAGCACTTTTGAAGGCCAAGGCGGGCAGATTGCTTGAGGTAAGGAGTTCACTTGGCCAACATGGTGAAACCTTGTCTCTACTAAAAATACAAAAATTAACTGGGCATGGGGGCATGTGCCTGTAATCCCCTACTTGGGAGGCTGAGGCAGGAGAATCGCTTGAACCTGGGAGGCAGAGGTTGCAGTGAGCAGGATTGCACCACTGCACTCTAGCATGGGCAGCAGAACAAGACTCTGTCTTAAAAAATAAATACATTAATTTAATTTAATTTAATTTAATTTAAGTGGAAGATACAGGCTCAGCAATCTACCCAATTCGCTTCTCCTTTGGCTCTGAAGCAGAGTAGGGTGGCTCACGCCCGTAATCCCAACACTTTGGGGACCACATTAGGTCAATCACTTGAGTCCAGGGGCTGGACAACATAGTGAGACCCTGTCTCAACAAAAAAACAAACAAAATTAGCTAGGCATGGTAGCGCATGTGTGTGGTCCAAGCTACTTAGAAGGTTGAGGCAGAAACCCATCAAATAAGTAAGGAAAAAGCAAATATGCAGATATATAATAAACATATTGGTCAGTCAGTTTTACTTAGTACGACTTGAAAGGCCTTCTAAGTCCTTACAAAATAGATTTGCTACACTGAAAAACATTGAGCTAAACAGCATTCCCAGAACATGCCATAATTTAATTAACCACTTCTCTACATATGAACATTTGTTTTGAATTTGTTGATATAACAATGTTGCAGGCCAGGCATGGTGGCTCACCCCTGTAATCCCAACACTTTGGGAGGCTGAGGCAGGCGGATCATCTGAAGTCAGGAGTTCGAGACCAGTCTGGCCAACATGGTGAAACACTGTCTCTATTAAAAATATAAAAATTAGCTGGGCATGGTGGTGGGTGCCTATAACCCCAGGTACTTGGGAGGCTGAGGCAGAAGAATCGCTTGAACCCAGGAGCCGGAGTTTCCAGTGAGCTGAGATCGTACCATTACACTCCAGTCTGGGTGACTAGAGTGAGACTCCATTTAAAAAAAAAAAAAAAAAAAAAAATATATATATATATATATATATATATATACACACACACACACATATATACACATATATAAAACAATAAACATCTTTATGCATTAAAAAAAATCCTCATTCTTTAAGATGTAATGCAAATGCCTCCTCCCTGAACCTTTCCATTATCTTTCTTTTTTTAGCTTCTCTGCTTCTACCCTAGTGAAATTACCTTCTCACTACTGTCTCTCTTTAGCATTTGATATTTCAGAATGATTTTTATCTTGCCTTTTGTTATGATTATTTGGGTTATTCTTTTCTCTCTCCTAGTAATGTTTATATATTAATAATACAGAGTTGAGACAGTTCCCCATCACCTACATGATTTTGCATGGTATGCAAATGTTTATTCAATTAAAACAAGTCCTTTATACAACTTGATTTGCTCCATTCTTAATAGTTAAAACAGGGTGCCATCAATTTATGTAACAAATCATGTCACCATTATGTTACCCACTCAATACATAAGTGTCTCCGTGCATAGCTTTTTTTTTTTTTTTCTAAGACAGGGTCTCACTCTGTCACCTAGGCTAGAGTGCAGTGGCATGACCACAGCTCACTGCAGCCTTGACTCCTGGGCTTAAACAATCTTCCTACCTCACTCAGCAAGTAGCTGGGATTACAGAAGGTATGAGCCACTGTGCCTGGCTATTTATTTATTTATTTTTAATTAGAGTAGCTGGGGTTACAGAAGCCTGCCACCTCACTCGGCTAATTTTTTGTATTTGTTGTGGAGATGGGGTTTCACCATGTTGGCCAGGTTGGTCTCGAACTCCTGACCTCAGGCGATCTGCTCACCTTGGCCTCCCCAAGTGCTGGGATTACAGGCGTGAGCCACCACACCCGGCCTACTTATTTATTTTAAATTGGCAACAAAGTGTGCAGGTTTATCATGTACCTTAAAAATATTGTAGAGAAAATTAATGTTTCCTTTGATGATCACTGCCACCTATCCCAATCCACTGTCCTGCTGCCCAGAAGTGACTGCTTTCTCAAGTACACTTCTGCACTTTTCTCTCTCTGTGTATATATATTTCTATTTCTTGTATTTGCTGTCTGTCTTTTTGCTGGAATGCTATTCCCCCAAATACCCAAATGCCTCACTCCTTCACTTGATTCAGGTCCCTTCTCAAAGAAAACTTCCTTAGAAAGGTCTTCCTTTACCAATCTATCTAGAAGAGCAGTTTCTACCCGTCTCCCCACACACTCCTTTTTCTTCATAGCACTTACCACCATCTAAAATTATATAATGTGCTGTCTTTCTCCTACATTAGCATGTAAGCTCTATAAGGACAAGGACACCTTGGGTTCATTTATTGTATCCCCAGCACCTGGAATAGGGCCTGGCACATAGAAGACACTCAATAAATATCTGTTGAATAAATATACATGTATCTATAAATAATGTATAGTATTTTGTATATTTAAAATTTTTATATGCATAGCATCCACACTGTATATGTTTATTTTATTCTTTTTCATTTTAATTTTTGTGAGTACATATTATGTATATACATTTATAGGGTATGTGAGATGTTTTGACACAGGCATGCAAATAAGCACATCATGAGAATGAGGTAACCGTCCTCTCAAGCATTTATCCTTTGAGTTACCAACAATCCAATTACACTCTATGTTAAATGTACAATTAAGTTATTATTGACTTTACTCATCCTGTTGTGCTATCTATTAGTAGGTCTTACTCATTTGTTCTATTTTTTTTTTTTTGGTGCCCATTACTGTACATATTTATAACTTGCTTTTTTTTTCCCCACTGACATTATATTTTTGAAATCTATTCATTTAGATCAGTGGTTCCCAACCAGGGACAATTTTGCCCCCCAAGGAAATTTGGCAATGTCTGGAGACATTTCTGGTTGTCATGATTGGAAGATGAGGGAGAAGTGCTATTGATATTTGCTGGGTAGAGGCCATGGTTGCTGTTAAATCTCCTATGAAGTGCAAGCCAGTCTTTCACAACAAATTATCAGATCCAAAATGTCAGTAGCACTGAGACTGATAAGTCCTAAATCAGATATATTTATATTTAGTTAATCTCTGGTTAACTACTGGAAAGTAGGCCATCATATAAATACAATGCAATTCATGTATCCATTATTGATAGATACTTTGATTGCTTATAATTTTTCACAATTACAATCTCTAATAAATTGGGGGAAAGTTCTGGTATTATATGTGGGAACTAAAAACAATTCTGAACTCACAGAGAGAGAGAGCAGGATAATGGTTGGCTGGGTGCAGTGGCTCACAGTTGTAATCCCAGAACTTTGAGAAGCCAAGGTAGGAGAATCTCTTAAACCCAGGAGGTCAAGGCTACAATGAGCTATGATTGCATGACTGCACTCCAGCCTGGGCAACAGAGTGAGACCCTGTTTCGATTAAAATAAATAAATAAATAAATAAAGTATAATGATGGTTACCAGAGGCTGGGAAGGGTAGCAGAGAGTGGGAGAAAAAGAGGGGATAGTTAATGGGTACCAAAATGTAGTTAAATAGAAGGAATAAGAGCTAGTGTTTGCTGCTCTGCCTATGGAGTAGCCATTCTTTATTCCTTTACTTTCTTAATAAATGTACTTTCACTTTACTCTATGGACTCACCCCAAATTCTTTTATACACAAGATCTAAGAACCCTCTCTTGGGGTCTGGATCTGGAACCCTTTTTTGTAACATCTTCCTGGCAAACCCCAAAAGATATTTTAAAAAAATAAAAAAGAGCTAGTGTTTGGTAGCACAATAAGGTAACTACAGTTAACAATAATTAATTATATAGTTCAATATACCTTAAAAAAATAGAATAACTAAAAATATTCCTAACACAAAGAAATGATAAATGCTTGAAGTGATGAAAAGCTTAATTACCCTGATTTGATCATTATGCATTGTATGCTACATGTACATTATATGTGTAATCACATGTACTCCACAAATATGCATAACTAGTATGCATCCCTAATAATTAAAAATATAAAATTAATGGCTAGGTGTGGTGGCTCATGCCTGTAATCCCAGCACTTTGGGAGGCCAAGGTGGGTGGATCACCTGAGGTCAGGAGTCTGGCCAACATGGCAAAACCCTGTCTACTAAAAATACAAAAATTAGCCAGGTGTGGTGGTGCGTGCCTATAATCCTAGCTACTCAGGAGGCTGAGGCAGGACAATCAGTTGAACCCGGGAGGTGGAGCACTGCACTCCAGCCTAGGCAACTAAGCATAGCTCTGTCTAAAAAAATAAATAAATAAGTAAAAATAAATAATAATAATAAATGAAAAAAGTGAAAATGAAAGGTAAATCTTAAAAAAAAGTCTATGATATTAATTCAACTATTTAAAAAAAACCACAAACATTAGGAATTCAACGATAGCTCTGGAGGGAGATGGAAGTTTGGTTTCAAACTGTTTAAAAATTATGTTGGTGTGCAGAATGGGAGCCTCTCCTGTAACATTAATTAAAATGTTGGACATTTAAGCTACTTGCAATATTTTCCCCCAACAGCAAAAAATAGTTGAGTAAACTGTGGTACATCCATTTGCCGAAACATTGTGCAGCTTTTTTTTTTTTTTTTGAAACGGAGTCTCGCCCTGTCACCAGGTTGAAGTGCAGTGGCAGATTCAAGTGATTCTCCTGCCTCAGTCTCCCGAGTAGCTGGGACTTTAGGCACGCGCCACCACACCCAGCTAATTTTTATATTTTTAGTAGAGATGGGTTTTCACCATGTTGGTCAGGATGGTCTCCACTTCTTAACCTCATGATCTGTCCACCTTGGCCTCCCAAAGTGCTGGGATTACAGGTGTGAGCCACCATGCCGAGCAATATTGTGCAACTTTCAAAAATTATGTTTATAGAGACTTTGTAATGCCATGAAAAATGTGATATCATGATGAGTAAAATCATATAGAGGAGGATGCAAGATTTCTTTCTCTTTTTTATTTTGAGGCAGGGTCTTGCTCTGTCATCCAGGCTAGAGTGCAGTGGCATGATCACAGCTCACTACAACTTCTGCCTCCCAGGGTCAAGCGATTCTCATGCCTCAGCCTTCTGAGTAGCTGGAACTGCAGGCGCAAGCCACCATGTCCGGCTAAGTTTTGTATTTTAAATAGAGATGAGGTTTCACCACATTGGCCAGGCTGGTATCAAACTCCTGGCCTCAAGTGATCTGCCTGCCTCAGCCTCCCAAAGTGTTGGGATCACAGGTGTGAACCACCGTGCCTGGCCATTCTATAACAAAAATCAACTGAGGGTGGGGCGGGGGGGGGGACAAACCCTGGAAGGTAATAAATTAAAGTGATAACACTGTTTGACTCTCTGGTACAAATTTTTTCCTTGTCACATCCTTCTGTATTTGCTATACTAAATGTATATGTTACTTTTATAGCAACAAACTTTATTATTTAAAAATAATTATCTAGGCTGGGTGTGGTGGCTCATGCCTATAATCTCAGCACATTGGAAGGCTTCAGTGGGCAGATCACTTGAGGTCAAGAGTTTGAGACCAGCATGGTCAACCTGGTGAAACCCGTCTCTACTGAAAATACAAAAAAATAAAAAATCAGCCGGGTGTGATGGTGCATGCCTGTAGTCCCAGCGCTCAGGAGGCTGAGGAGAGAGAATCGCTTGAGCCTGGAAGGCGGAGGTTGCAGCAAGCTGAGATTGTGCAACCGCACTCCAGCCTGGGTGACAAAGTGAGACTCCATATAAAAATACAATACAATACCATAAATAAATAAAATAGAAAATAAAAAAAACTATCTAAATACCAATCTTGGCAGTAGGAGTCTTAACAATAACTCACCTTTCTGGCCGGTTTACTGAGAGCTGGAAGTAATTCTCTGCCATTTCTAGTCTTTCCCGGTACTGAGCAGAACCTTCTATTAATCCCTTAAAAAAAATGGTCCATCAGAACGTCACTCACAAGTTGTCATTAAAATAATGTGCTCACCAGCAACTTTCAGAGAGGCAGCAAATAGTCTACTGCTCAGGAATCATGTGGCCCAAGGCCTAGGTCCTGTTTTGTCATTAATGTGCCTGTCTGAACTCCAGTTTCTTCAAATGAGGGGACTCGGCTACATGTAGTGGTTCCTAATTTTTTTCACCATTACAGGTCTATTTCCAGTTTGGAGCATTTTCTACTATTTTCTTTTACTTAATTATTAAGATATAATTGGTTGGGTGCAGTGGCTCATGCCTGGTAATCTCAACACTTTGGGAGGATGAAGTGGGCAGACTGCTTGAGCTCAGGAGTTTGAGACCACCAGCCTGGGCAACATGGTGAGACCCTGCCTCTACAAACAAAAACAAGAATTAAAAAAAGATATAACTAATTAGTAATTCACAAAACAAAGTACAGAAAGTTTGCCAAGTAGAATAAAAAATGGCAAAATCCCACCATTACTATCGTTTGTGTTTTCTAACTGCATATTTATAGTGGTAGTCATACTTAGTATTTTACATTTTTTTAAGAATATACTGGCTGGGCACCATGGCTCATGCCTATAATTCCAGTACTTTGGGATGCAGAGGTGGGAGGATCACTTGAGGACATGAGTTTAAGACCAGCCTGCGCAACATAGCAAGACTTCAACTCTACTAAAAAGAAAAAAAATAATAAAATTAGCCAGGCATGGTGGCACATGCCTATAGTCTCAGCTATTTGACAGGCTGAGGCAGCAGGATCACTTGAGCCCTGGAGTTCAAGGCTGCAGTGAGCCATGATCCTACTACAACACTCTGGCTTGCACGACAGAGCGAGACCCTGTACAACAACAACAACAATAATAGCTGGGCACAGTGGCTCATGCTCATGCCTGTAATCCTAGCACTTTGGGAGGCCAAGACGGGTGGATCACCTGAGGTCAGGAGTTAAAGATCAGGCTGCCCAACATGGTGAAACCCCATTGCTACTAAAATACAAAAATTAGCCAGGTGTGGTGGTGTGAACCAGTAGTCCCAGCTACTCGGGAGGCTGAGGCAGGAGAATCGCTTGGACTGAGGAGGCGGAAGTTGCAGAGAGCTGAGATCATGCCATTGCACTCCAGCCTGGGCAACAAGAGTGAAACTCCATCTCAAAAAACAAACAAACAAAAAACCCACGATATATATACTATAATATAATAAGTACTTTTCATATTGCTGTGCCATCTTTATCATCATCATATTCTTATGAACTTTTCTACTTCTTAGATATTTCCTTTTAAAAGATTATTCAAAGTGAAGGTTCCAAGTTTGAACCTTTCCATAGCTCTTGGAAGACACTACCAAATTACTTTCCAATTAAGGTTCTACCAATTTGCAATGTTGCCAGCAAGGTATAGGAGTATTAGTTTTACCATACTCTCAACAGCACTGAATATCATTCATATCCTTTTGTACATACATGAAAGACATTCTCCATTACTGTGTTCATATGCATATCTTTACTACTTGTGAAGTTGAATACTTTAAGAGAAATTTACTAGGTATCTTTTAATAAATTTTAAAATCTAACCCTTTGCTAATTTTCCTATCCAGTGTTTTCTTTTCTTTTCTTTTCTTCTTTTTCTTCAATTTTTGAGAGATCTATTCACCTAATACACTTAGCTAACTGGTGTTTTTCATGTTTGTGTTATCAAGTTTTTGCAAGTTATTTTATCTGGTACAAATAATCACTTTCATCATTTAATATAAGCAGTACTAGTTTTTCTCTAATACTGGAAACAGTTCATAGATACCTCCTTCATTATCACTGAACTAGGAAAGTCTCCTTTAACTCTACCTTCCATAATTATGTCACACATTTAAACATGGACCATAGGACTTTAAGTCACTGGCATGGTTTTGTCTGGATTGCATACTTAAAAACCAATACATTGCAAGTCCTACCTTAAAGTAATCATTCTTTTTCAGACTTTCAAGGAAACTGGCCCAGAGTGGTGAGGCAGTCACAAGGGATTTCTTGCAATCAGAAAAATGTGGGCTACATTTGGAACATAAGATCTCAAATCCATGAGCCTAGATGAGATAGGTAGAATTTTTGTTATGAAGTTCCTTTTTTTCTGTATCTTACATTACTTTCTTTCCACTTAGCCACACTCTAAAACTAGGTGACTGGATACATGGGCATTTGGACAATTACAACACTTTTTAAATTTTATGAAAAACATAAACTTATTTCCAAGTTTCTTAATCATCATAGAATAGTAAAAATCATAAAGGGAAAGAAAATGATATACAACCAAGATTCCTGTTCTCTTCAAAGAGATTCCTTTTCCTGCTGATTACAAAACCAGAAATTTCTATTTATTTTTTGTTTAATTATGAAAAGGGTGACAAAAGATTTCTTGTCCAGCAGAAATTATACATAAACTGAACATGATCTCAGACATAGTAAAGGGAGGAAATCACTTCATTTAAAAAGTCCTTTGATTAAAAAAATATAACAGATGCACATGGTTAAACAATTCAAAACAGGGAACTTCCCTGATTAAGCTAGAGAACACTGTTACCAACTTCTTGCACATCCTTTCAGAAGTAATCTACACACTGAAGTAGATATGTGTGTGCCTCTCTGTATGCAGTTTACTCCACACCTTTTGTTGCTCAATGAACGCATACACACTATCTATACCTTGCTTTTTACACTAAACCATATACCTTGGAGATCATTTACATGAGCACACACAAATTCATTCATCATACTTCATGGCTAGAGCACAATTTATCTAACTGTTATCCTACTAATGGACATTTAAGTAGTTTCCAATCTTTTGCTACTATGAACAATGCTGTCATGAGTATGCTCCAAATATGTCCTTGTGCATACTTAAAATACAGAGAGAATAATTTTCTAGAAGTGAAAATGATGATCAAAAGGGTTTGTGCATTTTAAATGTTGATGGATAACAGACAGTCCCCAACTTATGATCGTTTGACTTAACAATTTTTTGACTTTATGATGGTATGAAAGCAATGTGCATTCAGCAGAAACCTTACTTAGAATTTTTATCTTTTCGCAGACTAGCAATACGCACTCTCTCATAATGCTGGATACACAGTAGCAGCAAGCTGCAGTTGGCAAAGTGATCACAAAGGCAGTCAACCAATACTGTACTCTACAGTATACTGTATGCAATAAATTACACAGCATACTCAAAGTTTATTATAAAATAGGCTTTCTGTTAGATGATTTCCCCCAACTGTATGCTCAGGTAAGTATTCTGAGCCTATTTAAGGTAGCCTATTTAAGCTAGGCTGCGCTATGATGTTCATTTGGTTAGATGCATTAAATACATTTTTGACTTATGATATTTTCAATTTTTGATGGGTCTATCAGGAAGTAACCCCACTGTGAGTCGTGGAGCATCTATTTTGCCAAAATGTTCTCATAAGGGATACAATCAATTTATATTCCTATCAACAATGTCTGAGAGTGTGCTTTTTTCTATATATTCTCAACAACCCAGTATGTATTATCAAGCCATTTGATACATGCTAACATAATGATGAAAAACACTATTTTGTAGCTTTAAAGTGTATTTCTTTTATTGTGAGTAAGATTCAATATTTTTCATATGTTTAACTTAAAGCTCACCTGTACTTCCTTTCTGTGGGCTATTTTCATAGTTCCTGTACATTTTAAAATTAATTGGTTGGTATTATCTTTTTCATATTGACTTAAATGAACACTTTATATATTAGAGAAGTCAGCTCTTTTTCATTTAGATTGCAAATATAACTTTCTCCAGGTTTGCTATCTTTTGACTTTATTTATGGAGTTTTTCTTTCCCATGCAGAAATGCTTAATTTTTGCATAATTAATCAGTTTGCCCTTTGATAGCTTCTGATTTCAAGTCATACTTAGAAAGGCCTTTCCTATTCAGATTATAAAAAGTTCTTGTTTGTATTTCAAATTGTAGAGTTTCAAGTTTTATGTTTAAATATTTGATCCAATTGGAATTTATTCTGGTAAACTTCAGTTTTTCAGATGGCTTCACACTTGTCCCATCGTCACTTACTAAACAATAAATTTTTTCATTCTAATTTCAAATGCTACATTTTACTACATTCTTACATAAATAGGGTGTATTTCTGGACTTTCTATATTGCGCCACTATTCTATTAACAGCCTGTTTACATAAAGAAAGAAAACAACATTTCCGGTTCAACATTACCAATTTCATGCCCAATTCATGGGCTCGGTACTGGGGATCAGATGGAGGAGGCAGCCTATATCCACTCCGCCGGTCTGGCACAAACCTTTGTTGTACCAACTGTGCATACAGACATTTAGTGAATGTGACCTGGGCATCAAGACACAAAATACATGAGTCTTTTCCTGAAATTAAAATTGTGAATATCACTTCAGAGTTAAGTAAGAAGTCCATTTATAAGCTTCAAATTCATATGAAATGCAAAGAAAATTCAACCTATTAACTGTCTACTTGTTTTTAACAGCTGTACTGAGATACAACTCACATACCACAAAATTTACCCTGTGGCTGGTTGGGCATGGTGGCTCATGCCTGTAATTCCAGCACTTTCGGAGGCCGAGGCAGGCAGATCACCTGAGGTCAGAGTTTGAGACCAGCCTGGCCAACATGGTGAAACCCTGTCTCTACTAAAAACACAAAAATTAGCCAGGCAAGGTGGTGCATACCTGTAATCCCAGTTACTCTGGAGGCTGAGGCAAGAGAATTGTTTGAACCCAGGAGGTGGAGGTTGCAGTGAGCCAAGACTGCACCACTGCACTCAGCCTGGGCGACAGAGAAAGACTCTGTTTCAAAAAAAAAAAAAAATACCCTACTGCCTACTTTTTAGTAATCACTAGTAAAATTTTTATCATTAGTTACATTATAGAGCAATTTAAGAGGTGAAAGGTAAAGAATAATTCTTTTTTTCCTGAGACAGAGTCTTGCTCTGTTGCCCAGGCTGGAGTGCAGTGGAGCAATCATGGTTCACTGAAGCCTCAACCTCCTGGGCTCAAGCGATCCTCCTGCCTCAACTTCCCAAGTAGATTACAGGTGCCCGCCATCACACCTGGGTAATTTTTTTTATTTTTTGTAGAAATGGGGTTTACCATGTTGCACAGGCTGGTCTCGAACGCCTGGGCTCAAGTGATCTACCTGCCTTGGCCTCCCAAAGTGCTGGGATTACAGGTGTGAGCCACCCTGCCCGGCCAAGAATAATTCTTAATTTCCTGGAAGAGATGAAATGTTTTATTGTTGAGAAGGAAATAATTAGGCCAGGCATGGTGGCTCATGCCTGGAATCCCAGCACTTTGGGAGGCCAAGATGGATGAATCACTTGTAGTCAGGAGTTCAAGACCAGCTTGGCCAACATGGCGAAATGCTGTCTCTACTAAAAATACAAAAATTAGCCAGGTGTCTTGGGAGGCACCTGTAGTCGCAGCTACTCGGGAAGCAGGAGGATCATTTGAGCCCAGAAGGCAGAGAGGCTGCAGTGAGCTGAGATGGCTCTATTACACTCCAGCCTGGGTAACACAGCAAGACTCTGCCTAAAAACAAAAGGAGGAAATAATTATAGAAATAGAAAAATATGGTCAAAAATAGGTATGAAACATTGAGTATAAAATGGGGAGTCAGGTATCTTGAAAATTTCCTTCACTGGATAGAAGAAAAAATGTGTATAGTTTGAGTATCCCCAATGTGAATATCTGAAATCTAAAATGTTCCAAAATCCAAAACTTTTTGAGTGCCAACGATATGCTCAAAGTTGTGAGATTTCACATTTTCAGATTTGGAATGCTCAACTGGTAAGTATAATGCAAATATTCCAAAATCCAAAAAAAAAAAATCTGAAATCTGAAATACTTCTGGTCCCAAGCATTTCAGATAAGGAATATTCAACCTATATCAACATGCTATGAAAAAATAGAATATTTCCTTGTTTTTTCTAGAGAGCAACAAAAATAATGTTTCATTCACTGAGCACTGAGAAATATAAAAAGAAAAAAATAATAATGTTTCAACTCTGTTTCCCGTGAGAGAAACTAAATGACCAAGATAGAAATCTCACCGATGTTATTATTCGAGTTTCAGGCAAGAATGTCTTGAAAACACGACAGGCTCGCAGGTCAATAGGGTCTCGTAGGTAAAATGCCTGGACTGCTGCAGCCACCAATCTGGGGCGCTGCTTTAGCACTGCCACAATGCCAGCTGGAAGAAAGCAGTGTGCTCGATGAAGGGAGGCCTGAATTTTTTCTGGGTACCTGGAACAGGTAACATAATTATTTTCATTTTACAATATACAAATACCTAGAATTCTTATATCATTCACTTTCTTTTCGACATCGTGTCTTTGTTCATCAAGAGCAGTATGCAGAGAGTGACAAGAGAGATGAAAACAGATACTGCACATATACTTAAGACTATAAGAAAGAAGGAAAAAGAAAAAGTAGGAAGAAATGGAAAATAAAGAAAAGGGATTATTGTAGTTCAAAAATAAAACAAAAAACCCTATTATACTTTGGAGTAAAGATAAAATGAAAGTTTTTCTTCTAAAAGAATGGTACAAAGTATACTGAAGCTAAAATAGATTTTTAATATTGTTAAGTCCTAAATTGTGCTACACATTTAATAGGCACCCAAATTTGAATGGATGAACTAATATGTTGCTAGGTTAAGATCTTCTTTTCTTAATAAAAGCTAAAGTTTTATTCAGAAACTGTATTCTGACATAGGTCAAAGAATGCCATATAGAGACCCAGAACAACAGAAAAAACCTGAGCACCTTGTGCTCCATTAGGTTTCTGTTTTTTGAAGGTCTCAAATTTTTTACCCATGGATAGAGCTCATACTTAGCCATGATATCTAGGATAAATAAATGCAAAAATATCGGGACAAGATTATAACCCTTCTGAATGGGAATTTAAAGACGTTTTAAAATCTGTAAGTTTAATTTATTAGTCAATTTCATAAAGAGGAATGAAGACAAAATGAAAATTAGCATTAATATAGGTGAAAGACATTTTATAGTCAGAGAAAGACTAAGTCCAACAGAACTTAAAGGAAAACAAAAATCAAAGAAAGACTGAACTACATGAAACTACAAGATTCCTTAATCAGCAACGAAAGTGAATTTTTCTTACCCTCTGATGCGTCTATTCACAGCAGCTCGTATAGATTCTGAAGCAAGTATTTTTTCTGGATGTGCTGAGATTATATTCAACGCTTGTGGAATTGTTGGGGTTGTGTTGGGTAACCAAGATTCTTCTCCAGATTTTCTTGGTGCAGGAATAATACACAATTCCCCATGGTGGAAAAATACCTGCAAATAGTACATTTTAATTCTCATAGGGGGCACTGGCAAACTCTAGGTACATATGAATGTAATCCAATATGATTTCATCTCTGTAAATTTTCTAAACTTAGATATACATACCCTATTGGTGCTATTATCAGGATCCAACCATTTAGGGAGAAAGTCAGCAGCTTCTATTAACAAGAATTCGCCATCATTGTCTTCAATCCTAATGCAAGAAAATTTCCAATTTTGCATTCAAAAAGCACATGTTTGCTAGTAACCAAAACAGTTTTATTCTAATACATTTTCCTTTTCATCTTAGTAAATATTTGAATATGAACCATGTGTACATAGCTATAAGAAAGAAAAATATTTAAGATAACATTAATCACTGAAGGAGACTATAAGATTATAAGGAGGAGTTGAAGGTAGATGATAAGGAGAAGATAAGCAATTTACATAAAGAAATATTAGACAAAAATATGAAAATACACAAAATATTATAGGGTTCCAAAAGAAAAAAAAAACATAGCTGAGATTAGAAAAGCCTTCATGTAACACGTGGTATTTGGAACTGAAAAGATAATAATTTGCATCACTTTTTTTTTTTTTTTTTTTTTTGACAGAGTCTGGCTCTGTTGCCCAGGCTGGAGTGCAGTGGCCTGATCTCAGCTCACTACAACCACCACTCCCAAGTTCAGGCGATTTTCCTGCCTTAGCCTCCCAAGTAGTTGGGATTACAGGTGCCCACCACAGCATCTGGCTAATTTTAGTATTTTTAGTAGAGACGGGGTTTCACCATGTTGGCCAAGCTGGTCTCAAACTCCTGACCACAGGTGATCCACCCACCTCGGCCTCCCAAAGTGCTGGGATTACAGGCATGAGCCACTGTGTCCAGCCTGCATCACATTTTTAAATTTAAAAGTTTTAATAGGTTATACATTCACGTGGGTAAAATTTTTAAAAATATATTAAAAATTACAAAATGAAAAAGTCTCCCTCCTACTATTGTTCCCATCTGCTCAACCCTACACATATCACTGCTGTTTCTTGTATATCCTTCTAGAGTTTGCTTATGCATAATCTAGCTATAGAAATATATATTTGTATTTTCTCCCTTTGATACACAAGACACAGTGTATTTTATATACTGTTATATACCATTCCAGCTCTATACTTTTATTTTTATTATTTTAGTTTAGCTTTGAGACAGAGTCTCACTCTGTTGCCCAGGCTGGAGTGCAGTGGTGGAGTCACACCCACTGCAAGCTCTGCCTCCTGGGCTCAATTGATTCTCCTGCCTCAACCTTCCAAGAAGCTGGGACCACAGGCGTGCACCAGCACGCCTGGCTAATTTTTGTATTTTTAGTAGAGATGGGGTTTCACCATGTTGGCCAGACTGGTCTCCAACTTTTGACCTCATGTGATGCTCTTGCCTCAACCTCCCAAAGTGCTAGGATTACAGGTGTGAGCCACTGTGCCTAGCCTACAATGTATTGTGTTCTTGAAACTTGCTAAGGCAGATTTTAAATATTCTCACCACACACAAAAAAATAAGTATGTGAAGTGATATATGTTATGAGCTCAATTCAGCCATCCTACAATATATATGTATTTCAAGACAACATGTTATACGTAATAAATATACACAATTTTTATTTGTCAATTTAAAAAATAGGCCAGGTGCAGTGGCTCATGCCTGTAATCTCAGCACTTTGGGAGGCTGAAGCAGATGGATCACTTGAGGTCAGGAGTTCAAGACCAGCCTGGCCAACATGGCGAAACCTTGTCTCTATAAAAATACAAAAATTAGGCCAGGCGCGGTGGCTCAAGCCTGTAATCCCAGCACTTTTGGAGGCCGAGGCGGGTGGATCACGAGGTCACGAGATCGAGACCATCCTGGTCAACACGGTGAAACCCCATCTCTACTAAAAATACAAAAACATTAGCTGGGCATGATGATGTGTGCCTGTAATCCCAGCTACTGAGGAGGTTGAGGCAGGAGAATTGCCTGAACCCAGGAGGTGGAGGTTGCAGTGAGCCGAGATCGCGCCATTGCACTCCAGCCTGGGTAACAAGAGTGAAACTCCGTCTCAAAAAAAAAATACAAAAATTAGGCAGGTGTGGTGGTGCACGCCTGTTGCCCCAGCTACTTGGGAGGATGAGGTATAAGAATCACTGGAGCCTGGGAGGCAGGGGTTGCACTGAGCCAGTATCATTCCACTGCAGAGTGAGACTCTGTCTCAAAAACATAAAATAAATAGAGCACAGTGGCATGTGCCTCTAGTACCAGATACTTGGGAGACTGAGGCAGGAGGGTGGCTCAGGAATTCAAGTACAGCCTGGGCAAAACAGCAAGACCCTGTCTTTTTTTTGAGATGGAATTTCACTCTTGCTGCTCAGGCTGGAGTGCAATGACGTGATCTCGGCTCACCGCAACCTCTGCCTCCCAGGTTCAAGTGATTCTCCTGCCTCAGCCTCCTGAGAAGCTGGGATTACAGGCATGTGCCACTATGCTCAGCTAATTTTGTATTTTTAATAGAGATGGGGTTTCTCCATGTTTGTCAGGCTGATCTTGAACTTCCGACCTCTGGTGATCCGTCTGCCTTGGCCTCCCAAAGTGTTGGGATTACAGGCATGACCCATGGCGCCCAGCCTAAGACCCTGTCTTTAAAAAAGTAAATAAATAATAAATAAATTTAAAACATTTAAAAGTTTTAAATAAATTTATTTAAAGATAAAAATAAAATGAGTTATCTCTTTGATTTACATCCTGAAGTATTTAAGGATCAAATGACAGCTACAGACAAAATAATAATGACCATGAGTTGGTGATTGTTGAAGCTGGGTAATGGGAACATGTGGGTTCATTCTCTCTATTTTAATGTATATTTAAAATTTAAATAATAAGTTTTCAAAGGTTTTTTTTTTTTCCCCTTCTCTTTTGTTCTGCTGGGAAAGAGGTTGGGATGGGTAAAAAAATATCAGAATTTATTCCGTTCTGGACTCCCTGAAGAAAGAAAAAAAAGATCAGAATTTGGGTGCTGACTAGGAAAACTAGGACAAAATATAAGTGGGCGGGACGCCCTCTGCTGGCAATACTTGGTACTTATAGAAAAAGGTTCCGTGTTTATTTTATTTAGTTAGTTAGTTTTGAGACGGAGTCTCACTCTGTCGCCAGGCTGGAGTGCAGTGGTGCGATCTGGCTCACTGCAACCTCCACCTCCCGGGTTCAAGTGATTCTCCTCCCTTAGTCTCCCGAGTAGCTGGAACTACAGGCGTGCGCCACCACGCCCAGCTAATTTTTGTATTTTTAGTAGAGATGGGGTTTCACCATGTTGGCAGGATGGTCTCGATCTCTTGACCTTGTTATCCGCCTGCCTCGGTCTCCCAAAGTAGAGATGGCCTCCCAAAGTAGGGACATGGTGAAACCTTGTCTCCACAAAAAACACAAAAATTAGGCAAGTGTGGTGGTGCATGCCTGTAGCCCCAGCTACTCGGGAGGATGACATAGGAGAATCACTTAAGCCTGGGAGGCTGGGGTTGCAGTGAACCAAGATTGCTCCATTGCAGTCCAGTCTGGGCAGCAGAGTGAAACTCTGTCTCAAAAAAATTAAATAAAGCACAGTGGCAAGTGCCTGTAGTACCAGATACTTGGGAGACTGAGGCAGGAGGATGGCTTGAGCCCAGGAGTTCAAGTCCAGCGTGGGCAAAATAGCAAGACCCTGTCTTTTTTTTTTTCTTTTTGAGATGGAATTTCACTCTTGTTGCCCAGGCTGGAGTGCAATGGCGCAATCTCGGCTCACCGCAACCTCTGCCTCCCAGGTTCAAGCGATTCTCCTGCCTCCGCCTCCCAAAGTGCTGGGATTACAGGCGTAAGCCACCGCACCCTACCTCAAGTCCCATTTTTAATGCAGTGTTACCTACTTTGCTTCCTACACAATTGTTCACTGACTTCTCCTTAAATTGTTTCTGTGTATGATTTCTCAAAAAGTATAGCTATGGTCTAGTAGAGGCATACATACTTAAAATATGAGAAATATATATGTGTATGAATGGAATTTTATTTTCCAAAGATCCACAAGGAATTTAATGGTGATTACTTCTGGGAAGCCAGAGCAGTAGAACCCTAGGTTTTGTTTGAAATCTTTTGGAAGTTGAACTCTTCGATAGTACTTTCTTTCTCAAGAAAAGGAAGTCACAAGAGAAAAGAAAACTGTAATCCCAGCACTTTGGGAAGCCAAGGAGGGTGGATCACCTGAGATCAGGGGTTCGAGACCAGCCTGGTCAACATGGTGAAACCCCATCTCTACTAAATATACAAAATTAGCTAGGTGTGGTGGTGCATGCCTGTAATCCTAACTAGTCACGAGGCTGAAGCAGGAGAATCACTTGAACCTGTGAGGCAGAGGTTGCAGTGAGCCATGATCACACCACTGCATTCCATCCTGGGTGACAAAGCTAGGCTACATCTCAAAAAAAGAAAAGAAAAGAAAAGAAAAGCACAGATACTATTAAAAATCTGTCCCAAATCTGTACAATTTCCAGCAGACTAGGAGAAAAATAAATCACTAAATAGATAAAAATGTAGTCGCTTTATTTCAGTAATAGAATTCCTTTAGAATAATTAAAATAATTACAATACCTTGCTACTAACTCCGGAAATTCCTTTGTAATCTGCTTTATGACATAAACAATAAACCATTCATCCTCAATATTATCCCCAAACTTTGTCATGCCAAACATATGAGCAGGAACACCTCCTAAAAACAAGAGAAAAGCAACCATGTAACCAGATAAATTTGTTACTGCAAATAAAATGCACATAATCATTCAATTGAGTAAACATTCATTGACTGACTGCTCTAAGTACTAGGGAGCCAGGGTTGCAATCCTGAACAAGAAGCCTACTCCTGAGGAGCTCAGGGTAAAACCAGATAACCAAATGATCTCAAAACAAGACAAAGAACTCTAGAACAGGGGTATGCAGTAAGGGCTATGTGAGTATAAAGGAGAGGATATCTTTGTCCAGAAAAATGGAAAAGTATGTGCAAAGGCACAGAGGCATAGTGTATAAAATATGTACGTATAGAGTATTCTGGGAATACCAGAACGCTAGATTTGGATGGACCAAATTTGGATAGAGATGGAACATGTGCACTATTCACAAATACATGGAAACTAAACAACACACTCTTGGAAGAAATCACAGGGAAATTAGAAAATATCTTGGGACAAATGAAAATGAACACACATCATACCAAAACTTAAGGGATTCAGGGAAAGCAGTGCTAAGGAGGAAGTTTGTAGTTGTGAAAGATCTCAAATCAACAACCTATACCCTAAAGAATTAGGGAAAAAAACAAAACAAAACAAAACTAAACTAAACCCAAACCTAGCATAAGGAAGTAAATAATAAACATTATAGCAGAGATAAATGAAATAGAGACCAGAAAAACAAAACAACTGATTCGTTTTTTTTTTAAAAGATTGACAAACTATTAACTTGATTAACCAGGAATAAGAGCGAATACTCAAATAACTAAAATCGGAAATGAAAGAGGGGACAATACAACCTATGTCACAGAAATAAGAAGGATAAGATAATTCTATGAACGATGGCATGCCAATAAATTTGATAATGTAGAAGAAATGGACAAATTCCTAAAAACACACAACCTATCAAGACTGGATCATGAGAAACAGAAAAATCTGAACAGATCTATAACTAGTAAGGAGATTGAATAAATAATCCAAAAGCTCCTAGTAAAGAAAAGCTGGCTTCACTGGGGAAATCTACCAAACATTTAAAGAATTTGACACCAATCCTCGTCAAAATCTTCCAAAAAAATGAAGGGGAGGGAATTCCCAAATTCCTTCTGAGGCCAGCATGACCCTAATATCAAAACCAAAGACAATATCAGAAAACTGTAGACCAATATCCCTGATGAATGTCAATGCAGAAATCCTTAACAAAATATCAGCAATCTGAATTCAGCAGCACATTAAATAGATGGTTAACCATGACCAAGCGGGATTTATTCCTGGGATGCAAGGATGGTTCAATACCTGAAAATCAATGTACAGTAACATCCCACATTAACAGAATGAAGGTCAAAAAAGTACATTACAGAGTGTCTCAAGAACTGCCATGGCAAACAACAGGAAGAACAGCCCAATCAACCCCTCTTCTCCCCACCCCAGATCTCAAGTTTCTTCAACTAGAAAACTCCAATTAAAGTATCTATTTTTGTCTATATTAGACTTCAATTTAAACTTCATCCTGAAGCAATGGGAACTATTGAAGGATATTAAGCAGGAGAGTGACACAATCAAATTTGTGTTTTACAAAGGTAACTGGCAACAGTTTGAGGAACTACAAAGACTGGAAACAGAGAGGTAAGTTAGGAGGTTATTGTTGTTTTCCAGATGTAGAGATAAAGAGGGCCTACGCTGAAGCCAAACAGATGTGGAAAAGGGGTCATATTTTCGAAGCATTAAGGATTTAGCATCTGACCAAACATGGTGAAGTGAGGAACTGATTATGATTCTGAATTATTGACTAGCTTGGATAACTGGGTGGATGGCAATGCCATTAAACAAGATAAGAAAACATAGGATAAAAATGGCTTTCTAGAGAACAGATAAAGGGTTGGTTTTGGATGTGCTGCACCAGCGTGACAGTGTTCTTGCCAATAAATATCATATGTATTTCAATGAATAAGAGTTCAACAAAATTAACAGTAGAGAAGATATGTAGCAATGCTAGCCAAAAAATAGCAGATAAGCACTAAACTGAGAGTATCACAGTGATGTACACTTGTTATGTATACATGGGGGGTATCTTGTGATGGCATCACAAGATGCCAGGCTCCTGATCCCAAATAAGACCTCACAGAAGTCACAGTGTGAGTAGAGCCTTGGTCACCTACCCATGATTAATTTTCATAAAACCATAAGAAATGATAGGGCTGTAGTGTGACCAGTTTCCCACCAGGCTACTTAAGGGTGTATGTCTGCTGCTTAAAGTTTGAAGGCCATCTGGCAAGCCAAAGCCATGGTGCCCAACAGAGGAGCAGGTCCTGAGAACACAAACATATCAGGGCATAGCTGGGAACATACCAAGGAAAACAGTGTCTGCATATACACAGTAGGCAAAGAGCCAAAAAATTAGCTGACAAGCAGCTTAGAGACGGAAGGTAGGGCCGATTTCTAGAGCTGTCCTGCTGCTGCCCAGGAGTGTTCTGTATGTAAGTCCTAATAAACTCATCTACTTGCCAAGATAGACCTGTCTGAGTCATTCTTTGGTCTTTCAGCTCCCTCCTAGTTTGGGGGAACATTTTTCTGTATAATCCTGGGTTCTTCTTGTAATAGGGCAGAGTGTCATATTTTGCCAGAGGTCAGATCTCAAGCATCAACAACACAGGAGAGCAATGAAGAAACCTCAAAATGCTCCTGAGTGGCAAATAATAGTCATAAAGCCCAATTATTTATCTTTATAAGCCCAGCAGAGACACTCAGATCCTCACCAAAACAGCTATATGAAACAAGGCAGCCTACTAAACACATTAACAAAATAAGGAATACTGAGTAACACCAAAAGGAACGAGAATTAAAGCCAGATGCCTGATACTGTTTAGTATACTTAGATACATTATGGCATAGTATAGTAACGAAAGTTCAAAAGAATAGCCATGAGTTTAATAATGTTTAGTGTATGATAATTCCTAAGGCAAATTTAGAAAGCTTTAATTACTTTTGTTTTTTTAAAGAGCTTTAAGTTTAAGGCTAACTGAATATAGACAAGTATCACTTATCTAACAAGTTTAGTGTATTAATCTCTTCCTGACAGTACTGAATGAAGTGTGGACTACTACACATCACTGCTGTCAGGATAACATTAAAAGTCACATTAATCAAAACAAGTAAAAGAGCCTTACCTTTCCCAGGTTTATATTTGAGATTGAAAGGCTGATTCTGCCAGATGTAGGAGACCAGCATAGGTGCAAACTGGGTCATTATTCTCTCAATATACTTCTGAAGAACCTCTTTCTGTTTTTCTGGGTCCCTTGATTCACCTGGTATCAGGAACAGGCGGTACTCCACGGTGTCTTCCACCATAGCAAGCTTCACAGATTCTTCCATTCTTCTTTGAAAACTACATTTAAAGTTCCAAAATACAAACCACATAGAACAATGCAGAAGTAACATCACATTCTCTGAACTCTTTTTTAGATGACTCTATGAACATTGTTTTCTAAAATTTAGTTAGGCCAGGCACAGTGGTTCATGCATGTAATCCTAGCACTCTGGGAGGCCGAGGGAAGCAGATCACTGGAGGTCAGGAGTTTGAGACCAGCCTGGCCAACACAGTGAAACCCTGTCTCTACTAAAAATGCAAAAAATTAGCTGGGTGTGGTGGCAAATGCCTATGATCCCAGCTACTCGGGAGGCTGAGGCAGGAGAATCACTTGAACCTAGGAGGCAGAGGTTGCAGTGAACCGAAATCATGCCACTGCCCTCCAGCCTGGGCATCAGAGAAAGACTCCATGTCAAAAAAATAAAAATAAAAAAAATAAGATTTAGTTAGGCACATATCATCATCATGGTTTTTGCCTTGACCATGACACCACCTACAGTAATATCTATTTAATTTTTTAAAACTTTATTATTTTTTGAGACAGAGTTTTGCTCTTGTTGCCCAGGCTGGAGTGCAAATGGCTCCATCTCGGCTCACTGCAGCCTCTGCCTCCTGGGCTCAAGCAATTCTCCTGCCTCAGCCTCCCAAGTAGCTGTGATTGCAGGCATATGCCACCACGTCCAACTAATTTTTGTTAGAGACAGGTTTCATCATGTTGGCCAGGCTGGTCTTGAACTCCTGATCTCAAGTGATCTGCCTGCCTCGGCCTCCCAAAGTGCTGTGATTATAGGCATGAGTCTCCTCGCCCGGCCAACTTTATTTATTTATTGAGCTAGGGTGATTAGAGGCATAAGCCACTGTGCCCGGCCAACTTTATTTATTTATTTATTGAGACAGGGTCTTTCTCTGTTACCCAGGCTGGAGTGCAGTGGCATGATCACAGCTCACTGCAACCTCTACTGCTTGGACTCAGCCATCCTCCCACCTCAGCCTCCCAAGTAGCTGGGACCACAGGCACGTGCCACCACATCCAGCTAATTTTTTTTGTATTTTTAGTAGGGGCAAAGTTTTGCCAGTTGCCCAGGCTGGTCCTGAACTCCTGAGCTCAAGTAGTCCTGCCTTGGTCTCCCAAAGTGCTGGGATTATAGGCATGAGTCACCGTACCTGGTCTAACATTATTAATGACCCTTTACACTTAAAACTTTATCTTTAAAATTATGTTCAAAGGAAACCTTGATATAATACAGTGAATAGAAACCCATATCACATTCCCCAATTAATATGTAAGAATAACTTCTTTATTTTTTATAGTTTTCCTGTTTTGCAAATGAACAATGAAATTTTCAATGTTTGCCCTTGTACTAGGAGTGGTATGTGTAACATACTTCAAGAGACACTGCACTGACATCCCCTGTTTACATGCTATCAAAAACCCCAGTTCTGCCACTAATTAGCTGTGCCACTGTAGACACTTCACTTTCTTTTTCTGGGTTTTTTTTCTTTAATTTAGGATAAGTTATCTACCATCTCTAAAATCTCTCCCTGCTTTAAAATTTTGTTCAACTCTAAAGAATAATCTCTTTTGCTCTGCAGAATGTAATCCCCTCTCTTTTATGAACATTGCATAGTGTAGAGGAATTCAGAACTACAAAACATTCGTGTCCTGTCATCTTACCTCTGCCCTAAATTTGCCCCTTTTTCAAATCTCATGGGATGGTAGATATATCTTTCTTTTCTTTTTTTTTTTAATTTTTAAGGGGAAAAAGTAGGTGTATATATTTATGGGTACATGAGGTATTTTGAAACATGTATATAATGCATAACAATCACAACAGGGTAAATGAGATATCCATCATCTTAAGCATTTATCCATTGTGTTACAATCTAATTATACACTTTTATTTTCATTAAAAAAACGTTTATAGCCAGGATATGCTCTCATCAGAACTTTTAGTTATTTTTAAATGTACAATTAAATTATTTACTATAGTCACCCTGTTGTGCTACTAAATACTAGTTTTCATTTGCTCTATTTTTTTGTGCCCCTTAACCATACCACTCCCCCACCAACCCTCTGCAACCCTTCCCAGTCTGGTAACCATCCTTCTACCTGCTATCTCCATGAGTTCAACTGATTTAATTTTTAGCTCCTATAAATTAATCAGGACATTTAAAGTTTATCTTTCTGTGCCAGGCTTATTTCACTTAACATAATGATCTCCAGTTCCATCCATGTTGTTACAAATGACAGAATCTCATTTTGTTTACGGCTGAAAAGTACTCCGTTGTGTGTGTGTACCACATTTTCTTCATTCACTTACTTGTTGATAGACACTTAGGTTGCTTCCAAATCTTGGCTATTGTGAACAGTGCTGCAATAAACATGGGAGTGCAGATATCTCTTTGATATACTGATTTCCTTTCTTTTCGGTAAATACCAAGCAATGGGATTCCTGGATCGTATAGTAGCTCTATTTTTAGTTTCTTGAGGAATCTCCAAAATTGTTCTCCATAGTGACTGCACTAATTTACATTCCCACCAACAGTGTTTTCTCCAAATCCTAGTCAGCACTTGTTATTATCTGTCTTACAGAACAGCCATTTTCACTGGGGTGAGATGCTGTCTTATTATAGTTTTCATTTGCATTTCTCTGATGATCAAAGACATGAGCACCTTTTCATAAACCTGTCTGCCATTTTTTTTTTTTTTTTTTTTTT